TTTTTGCTTTTTGGGGAGACCACTGCACTGTTCACTTGGGCACAGTGTTCCCATGCACGTCAATGTATACAGGAAGACCGCACTAGTGACACACACATACACAAGAAAAATACGCCACACAAAAACGTAACTACACAGAATCGCAATATTTGATATACGAAATCAACACGATGAAGAAAATCACGAAAATGTTTATACCAGTCATACTATTACGCAGTATACATTGCAGTGTGATGGCCGCAAAAAGTGCAACGACGGCATTCTGATCATGAGATAGAACAAAACGTTGACGTGCATGGGAGCACGGTGGGCAAGTGAACAGTGTAGTGCTCTCCCCAAAAAAGCAAAAAAGAAGAGTTAGCTGATGATGGCCCATGTGTGGCCGAAACATGTCGTAAATTGGGGGGGGGGAACCCGTAAAACTAAGAGACTTTTTAGAAATTGTGATAATCACTTTTAATGTAAAAAATGTACTTTTAGTGGCCTATTGACATTTTTAATGATTTTAACATTATAAAGTATTAAAATACATTTTTAGTGAGTGACATATTCTTGATGTCTTTTAAATTGTTGCATTATTTACGTGTACTTTGATAATAAGAATATGTACATATTGTCGCGTGTTACCTATGTAACGTTGTTGTGGTCACGTGTCTCCTATTCAGTGCGACAAATAACTTCCACGTACGTCTGGGATTCAGCGAATAAGTTATTGAACGCTCACTTTTACACCAGCGAGTACAATTATTATCACGTTCAGTATCACCGAAAAACTCTTCAGAGCTGGACTCTTATAACCTGGTTTCGGACGCGATAGAGGACACTTTCGCCCAGGGTTCCATTTCACGTGTTCTGTGCTCGTTGCCGCAGAAATGCATTATTTCCGTTATTTCAACAGTTCGTTGCCATGGTTATTCCTAGGCAACGATCTGTTGGTATTCGAGTTGTCGCTGTGGGAATTCAACAATTTCAATTGTAGCCGTTGCGCAGCGATGGACGACGTATAACACGTTACAGTATATTAATATTGGGTACAATTAATATTTTAACAACCAATCAAGCGCCATAATAGAGTATGACTAAGAAATAACAACACTAATATCCAGTGGCGTAGCATGACTACCGAAAGCAGGGAAGCAACTTTATATACGTGTATATAAATTTTTTCTACATACCCTATAGTTTCTATCTTCTATTTAAAAGAAAACAGCTAATAGTTTAATATGTATTGTATATTTAAGCTAATATATTAAAATAACACAATTTTATAGCCATCAAATGACAGGGTTGTGAACCTGGAATATAATTAATGCTTACTTTATTGTTTATAATTCAGCTCGATTCTTCTGTTTTTCTTGGGAAACAGATCAATAACCTCATCTAGAAAGCTGGGTTTGGACTGCAGTTTGTTTAGGAAGGACTTTTCAATGTTCATCAAAGCCAGTGATGACAACCTATCCTGGTTCTGCGAATTTCTTAAGTAGTTTTTTAATCTCTTCAGAGCTGAAAATGAGCGTTCATCTGCAGCACTTGTCGCTGGTATTGTTAATACTAGCTCACATAATTTGAAGATTTGCGGGAAAACGCATGATAACTGAAGAGCATACATATATTGATGTAAGTCATACACACTATCTTTTGCCATATCTGGGTCCGAAAACATTACTAAAAGTTCACTCTTTAAGGCAACAAAGTAAAAAAATGCACCATAATTTTC